GCTTTACCAATGCATCAGACATGGAAGAAATCGGCATTGCCGATTCGGCAAGACTTGTGCGAGATTCTATAGGAGATTTGCCTCCTCTTACATTGTCAAGTCTCCCACAAGAAATCGAATCGAAATACTCACGATAGAGAAAGTGATCTCACCAAAGTTGCTGCGTCATGTACGAAATAAGCCGTCAGCCGATGCGAGGTGATCGTAAAAGAGCGGTTCAAGGTGGACGTGTCGAAGACATCCGTCGCGATACAGACGCAGCGCTTAGAAGGCAAACCTTGTGCATCGCACAAGGGAGCAGAACAAGAGTATTCTACAACAGTCCCTCCAACAAGTTTATGGTCTCCACGCGAAAATTATACTCTCTATAACGAGTAGAGCTTTTTATTCCCCGTGGCATATCCGTCAAGACCTTGTCGACCGTTACAGGGATTAACCTATCGGACGAAAACAGCAACTTCAAACCGTTTTCCAATCGACCGACTATCGCTGGTTCGATCAAAGCTGCTGTGGCGCCTGGAAAGAGATCACCGACAAATCCGAAGAGGTCGTCACTATGGCCACTACTGTAGGTGATGACCACCACTTGAAGATATTATGGCATCACTTTAGCACTACTATCGTAGCATTATCACGGGTCCTCCGCTGAGGACATCATAACACAGCAACCATCTATGATAAGACTGCTCAGCCATAATCTTCTTGGTGTGATTGCCACTTCGAACATGAACCTTCGAAACCTAGCAAATATGAGTAAGATCGGGACAATCAAGTCTGTGACAATAATTCCTACCTGACGACTTTCCCAGGAGTGTGAAGCGATCTGGCGATCAGCTTACACTCACTGGTCTCTATTAGGGGATCCTTCATACTCATGTTGCTCGCGACTTCAGAGTATGGCATTGAAAGCTCATAATATGAGCTTTGAGCTTGGATATTATCCAGAATAATAACATCACTCCAGCTAGTGCCAGGCGCAGCCTCAGTCCCAAACGGCTTTCCTCAAAGTCATCGAAGTTCAATCCGCTTCGTGCTTGCCTAGCGGAAGGGCGGGACCGGTGAACCTTCGTCCTGCGATAAAGCCTGACAGGACGCAGATCGCGCGTGATAAATAATGACCACCGCGTCGAAGCCCAGATGTTAATATACCTCCTACACTCTCCCAAGAGAATGTAGGAGACTTGCCAAAAAATGCCAAATGGCATAACATGCAAGAAAACAGTTTCGCTGTTTCTCGCTGTAGGGAACGATCCAGACGGAAGCACTTATAGATTCTGAATCGCCATGCTTTGTTATATACCCCCGTGTGAAAATCTACCACCCAGAGCTTATCCCACCATTTCGTACCA